ACCCAGGATCTCATACCTGCTAGGCAAGTGCTCCACTACTGAGCTACACCCTCCAATTTTTGTTTGGGGTTTTGTTTGGGGGTTATATTGAACCTATAGATAAATATGGGAGAATTAATATCTTTAAAATACTAAGACTTCAAACTTATGGACATGGCATATTGGAGGCATTGTTGATTTCTTTTTTCTCTCATACTGTGTATGTCAGTACCTCCTGTTAGGTTATAAATATATCCAGAATCTGAGTACTTTTCACTACCCCAATTGGTTCAAGTCTCCATATTTCATCTGTATTATTGCAATACTGATAAAACACAACTGATCTGAAACAACTGATAAGAAACAACTGATCTCTTAGTAAGGCATTCAGGGTGATGTTCATATTGGGTTGTATATTACTGATTTATAGGAGTTCTTTTTATATATAAGATTCAAGTCCTTTGTTAATGTATTGTAAATATTTTTGACTGTACTTGACTTACCATGAATTTTTTAATTAAAATGGTTTTATTAGCTTTTCTTTTAATATAAACATGAGAAATAAAAACCACATAAGTTGTAACACTTTTAAAAATAAAACTGCAATTAATATTTGAATATCCAAGCTCTGAACTCCATAAACAATGTTTTTTTTTTTTCCCTTGAGGTGGTAGATTGTAATATTTCAAATACCATTATTTATCACCTATGTCTGTCCTTTAAAAATGATGGAAACTGCAGAGCTGGGACTGTGGCTCAGCGGTAGGGCACTTGCCTAGCATGTGTGAGGCACTGGGTTTGATTCTCAGCACCATGTATAAATAAAATAAATATCTATCAACAACTAAGAAAAAAAATTTTTAAAAATGATGGAAACTGGAGCACTCAGTTCAACATGAAGCATTGTTACATTGAGAAAGAGTATTCCTGGCTCATAAGTGCAAGATTCCTAGGATTACATTTACAAAGAGAAATGGATTTCCCATAGTTTAGAACACTAATCTTTTTATATTTCAAATTTAGGTGACATTGTTATCAATCTCTTATGTTATTTACTCCTTGCTTGAAGTAGAGGTTCCCAAGGTTCATGTAAGTTCTCTCTTATATAGTAGGACTTGAAATGAGATACCTACAACCAGGTTAACACTTAGGATTAAAAAAAAAAGAAAAAAAAAAAACAACTTTCATATCATCTGCTATTAGGGTCCAATTCCTTTTCATTTATTACATGTGAATTAACACTCATCTTTCTTAATCTTCCTTTACCAAATCTAAAGAAAAGAAATTTAGGTGATCAAAGCAGATACAACACAACCCTGCATAAAACTACTTTAAAAGAGGAGGGTACTTTTTTAAAAAAACTTTTTTAACCTTTATTATTTATCTCCACAAATTCTAGTGCAATTTTAAGCTTTGACACCTGTAGCAGTATAAACGCTACAAACTTCAGAACATCATTTTTTTTCCCATTGGTTGTTCAAAACATTACAAAGCTCTTGACATATCATATTTCATACATTTGATTCAAGTGGGTTATGAACTCCCATTTTTACCCTGTTCAGAACATCATTTGAAAGTTAAACTACATCTCCCCCAAACTTAATTTTGCAAAAATATTGAGCCCTCAATTCTTTGTTCCAGTCAATGTTTGCCATCTTATTTTTTCTTTTTTTAAGAAAAGGGAGGAATAGGGAAAATTTAGATGCTGGATATATTTTTTTTTTTTTAAAGAGAGAGAGAGAGAGAGAGAGAGAGAGAGAGAGAGAGAGAGAGAGAGAGAGAGAGAGAGAGAATTTCCCAATATTTTTTAGTTTTCAGCAGACACAACATCCCTGTATGTGGTGTTGAGGATCGAACCGGGCTGCATGCATGCCAGGCAAGTGCGCTACCGCTTGAGCCACATCCCCAGCCCAATGTTTGGCATCTTAAAGAGGGACTGCTAACAAAAAAATTTGAAAAGCTCAACATCCAAATTTATAAAGTTAAAGAGAAATGCAATTAAACCCCCAAATGATGCCCTGAAAGAGTTTGTAGTTTTTACACTTCCACAGTAGGGCATAGTTACCAAAACCTAAAATTGCAATAAAACTTTCAGGACACCCGGTCTTTATCTGCTCAGTTATCACTGGACCACCATGTTGGCTAGCATTATGAAAATTCTTTTAATACATTTACTTAATAAGAGGAAAATTATCAGAAAGTGAGAAGCACCATTAATAGTTCACAAAAATGTAGTGTGGACCCAACTGAAGTAGGTTGTCAATAGGTGATACGTTCTCTTTATGATCCCAAACATGCCAAAATGCTAATAAATAGTGCCGCAAAATACATGAATGTTATCCGGTAGCTTTTTGATTTAAACTGATTGCCAATAATGAGTAGTAGCTTCAATGATATGATACAGTGGGAAGGAAGAACCTTCAATACCTAAAAATGTTACAGTTTGCCCCTAAGTGGCTTCATGAGTGTTAAGTGGGCTGGGGGTGGGCCAGTGCATTTTTAGCACATGCTAGGCCCTGGCTTTGAGCCCCAGCACACAAAAAAATTTTTAAAATAAGAGTACCATGTTTTTTTTTTTTTTTTAAGAGAGAGAGAGAATTTTTAATGTTTATTTTTTATTTTTTGGCAGACACAACATCTTTGTTTGTATGTGGTGCTGAGGATCGAACCCGGGCCGCATGCATGCCAGCCGAGCGCGCTACCACTTGAGCCACATCCCCAGCCCAAGAGTACCATGTTTTAATGGTAATACTGCATCAATTTTAAAGGCATATGCAGCAATGGGGAAGGGGAAGAAAAACAGAAAAAACAAAAAGTTATATAGTTAGTATATTTAAAGTACAAACGTTTAAATGATTAATTAAAAAAACCTTCGGGGGTGCTGGTGCTGGGGTTGTGGCTCAGCAGTAGAGTGCTCACCTAGCATGTGCGGGGCCCTGGGTTCGATCCTCAGCACCATATGGAATAAATAAATAAAATAAAGGTATTGTGTCCAACTACAACTAAAAAAAAAAAAATTCTTAAAAAAAAAAATTTAAAAACCTAACGTAGTTCATAACTATTGGCCTACACAGTAAGCAAATATCTACATGTGGGTTGAGAGCTTTTGCTTTGGAGTGGTTTTTGCTAACTCTGTTTACATGAAAAAGGACAGAAAGTGTGTTTGTTGCTTTGACAAGGTCCCATTCTTTCCTATGGAGTGCAACTGTCATTGTCCATGAGTCTCTTGAATTCGAGGTCTTTCCTTCTGATGAAAATACTAATTTTTCTGGTGTTTTTAGCAGGAGTGGTGATATTTCATCCAGTCTTTGTAGGTGAGAGGCTTATGAGTTATTACCCCTCAATTCTCCCTTTTAAGAGAGGATAACATTAAATAAAATATGGAACGCTTCACGAATTTGTGTGTCATCCTTATACACTGGCCATGCTAATCTTCTCTGTATCATTCTAATTTTAGTATATGTGCTGCTGAAGTGAGCACACCATTAATTGTTTGTTTGTTTTGGATGGATGGAGTTATTTTGATGATCTAAAAGGTCAAACTTTGGCTAATTTTTGTTGTTGTTGGTACTGGGGATTGAACCCAGGGGCCACTTTACCATTGAACTACATCTATCCCCATCCCTTTTTATTTTTTATTTTAAAGAGAGAGAGAGAGAGAGAGAGAGAGAGAGAGAGAGAGAGAGAGAGAGAGAGAGAGAGAGAGAGAATTTTAATATTTATTTTTTAGTTTTCGGCAGACACAACATCTTTGTTTGTATGTGGTGCTGAGGATCGAAACCGGGCCGCACACATGCCAGGCGAGCGCACTAAAGCTTGAGCCATATCCCCAGCCCCCTTTTTATTTTTTGAGACTGTCTCTAAGTTGCTTAGGGCCTTGCTAAATTGCTGAGGTTGGCTTTGAACTTGCAATCCTCCTGCATCATTCTCCCTAGTTGCTGGAATTACAGTTGTAGGCTACTGTGCCTGACAAGAATATTTTTAGATGTGTGAAATAATATCACTTCTTTTTAAAAGCCCTCCAGTGGTTTCTCATGTCAGAACAAAGGCCCTAAAAAGCCTTATTAAGGCTTCCTGTGATCTTAAAGTAGGTTTCCATCTTGACCTCATTCACTAATACTCCATCCGCTCACCTTCCACTTCCAACATGCACTGACCCTTCTTTGATAATGCCACACATTTTGGATTGGAAAGCTTTCACTTCAGGTGCCTGCATGGCTCATTCCTTTGCCTTTGTCAGTCATACCTTCTATTAAGCTCTTCCTAGCATGCCCTAAAATGTCAGCACACCCCAAACTTCCTATTCATTTCCTTATTTTCCTCCTTGCTATTTACCTTTATCTAACATACCGTATATTTAATTTTTCTTATTGTTTCCCCCTGATGCAAGCTCTAAAAGTTAGGCATGTCTTGTTCAGTGCAGTCTCTCTAACATGAAAGACAAAGCCCTTCACATAGCAAGCATCTGATAAGTTTGCAAAATGAATAAAGAATATGGAGGCCCAGGAAGATAAAGTTACTTACCCAAGATCACACAGGTAATAAACAAAAAATAGAGCTGAAATTTAATCCCAAGCAGCCTTATGTTTATGCTATTAAGCCTGAGAAGTGGGTCCCAATATTGAGTAAGGCTCAGCACTGGCATAGGTGTCACAAACCTGGCAGCACTCTCCACCCTTTGCTTGCAATGTCTCAGGTTTGTTTTGGATGGATGGAGTTATTTTGATGATCTAATAGGTCAAACTTTGGCTAATTTTTGTTGTTGTTGGTACTGAACCCTACCTGGTAGGTTGTCCTACCCAGAACCCCTGTTTCAGGTTCCCATGTCTCAGGTCTGACCTCAGCACATGGCTCGCTGCTGCCAGGCCCAGGACAGCTATTGTGGGCAAGGCCAGTGTGCTGATGCCCCCCTGTGGCTAGGGTGGGGAAGAACAGGCCAAGAGTAGCCTTGATGTTAAAAGTGTGTATGAATGATTCTTGATTCCCAGTTTCTCCCCTCACAGAATACACAATGCAAGGGATGACATAAGAGATCTTTATTTTACCAGAGGGGACAGGCAGTGGGGCAGTGCAACATCCAAGCCCCAGACCAGACATGCAGCATCCACATGCAGAATAGCTACACAGGCTGGGGCAGGGCCACAGGTAGGGGACTAGGGCTGTGGGACACTCATAGCACCCCTGGAGGGATGCTTGGGCCCTGGTCTCTTCCATCTCCACTACTGCAATGAGACAGAAGACTGAGCTGCTTCCCATGGCTGGAACCCTATCACTCTGGCCAGGAAGAAGGATGGCACAAGGGGAAACGGGATCTGGCCAATTTACGGCACTTGATTCTGTACAGGGTTGGCACAGCCTTGCCCACTGGAAGGGTCACATACCCAGGACAGTGCAGCACTAGCATGAAGCTGTCTCCAACAGGTTCAGAGCCTGACCCCAGAAAGGCTTAGTGAAGTTGGGACCAAGACCACCTAGTAGGGACTTTTCCACGAAGGAAACTTCTGTGAGCACAAACAGGGCCTCCTAAGGCAGTAGTAAACTGAGGAAGCTGCTATAGACAGGAGGCCCTGCCTCTGTGCCCCTGGGGTCAGGGAGAAAGGGGTAGTAATGAGAGCAGGCCTGGCCTGGGGAGGGAAGAAGTAAAGGGCAATGGCCCTGGGCCCTATAGGCCATGGCTACACAGGTCTAGAGGAAAGTGGGTGGTCTATAGACTTCCTAGAGGAGTATTCAGGGAAAACCAGGCCAGGAGAGGGGAGATAGGTTGTCCTACCCAGAACCCCTGTACCTATGCTGCACTCTGGCCAGGGATACAGGGAGGACAGATGGATACAGGAAGAACTTCAAGGCACCAGGATTCTGAGGAGCAGCAGGGCTACCCCCCACAGACAGACAGTGATTGTAATAAACATCTTCAGCTTAAACTATGTGATCTGCATAGAGGGAGGGAAGACAAGGGAGAGAAAGAAACACATAGGGAGATGAGGGAGGAAAGACACAAATTAGATGAGTGTGGCAGTGAAAGTGAGGATAGAAAAGAGGAAGAGACAGGAGAGAAGGGAAGACAGCCAGAGATGGCCTAAACACGCAGCACTTCTGGTCCCTACAAAATAAGGCACCAGAGTCAGTAACGTCCCGTTGTCCCTGTGGTGTTAAAACAGGTGAAGGGAGGGGCGGGCGGCTGCTGAAGGGCGTGGGCCTGCAGGAGCCTCACACCTGTGCACCAGTGGCTTTCTTGATCAAGGGTATCTGCAAAGATGGGAGATGCCATGAGGCCTTGGCTGTGGAGGTCCTGGACCCATATGCCCAGGTCAGTGGGCTGCCCAGGTAACTCCACTGCAACCAAGCAGATACATACCTTTGAGAGGTCCACACCTGTAAGGGCATGCACAGAGGCGGGCAGCTCAGCCAGCAGCCGGTTTACTTCTGATGTCACCTTGCTGTTGTCCCCGCTGAGAACCACAATCTCATCAACTTTGGTCAGTGGGGCAGCAATTTTGGCAGCAATCTAGGTGGGGTATGAGATCATGGTTAGATTCTGACTCCATCCACCTACCCTATCCAGCACCTTTCCCTCTCTTCTCTTATCCAAACCCCTAAATAGCTGAGGTGGCTCTAATTTGCAAGCCACAATAGGAAAGGCCGAGGGGCCAGGGATGGCCTGGGCCTATTGGAGGGTTCCTGCCCTCTACTGAGTATTTCCCATCTTTAATCCTTTCAGCTGGCTGGTGGCTGCGTAACTGACTAGGAACAAAATTGTTCTGGCACTTGTCTTGCTAATCAGGCGAGACTTGAGCTCTGGGTGCCAACTTTGGGTGCCAGTTTTGGGTGGGAGCCTCACCTGCGGCAGGGCCTCCAGCACCAGGGCCATCTTGGCTGCATCTCCATATTTCTGGTAGGCTTCAGCCTTGAGTTTCATCCGCTCAGCCTCTGCCTTGCCCATTGCCTCGATGACTGCCGCCTCTGCCTCCCCAATTTTGCGGATCTTCTCAGCCTCTGCCTGTGCCAAGAGGACCTGCTTCACCCTGGGGGAGCCCAGGCCAGGCAGATAATCAGGAGGTGCCAGGGTCCCCCAAAACCTTGTATAAGGTCTGACAAACCCTCTAGTCCTGTTCTGTTGGCTGTCAAGGGCAGGAGACATTTGAAGTGGGTGCCCTGGCTTGTTGGCTCAGGCCAGGGAGAGGTCCCACACCTGGGAAAGGAGACTGACCGCGAGGCCCTCTGTGCCAAACACTATAACAGGCATGTACTCGAGCCTTCTTTATCTCATTTAGTCTTGTTGACTGAAGGAGGTAGGGGTATGCCGCTTCACAGGAGGGACAAACATGGGGGAAAGTGGTTTCCCAACTGTGGTCAGAGAGAGCACACAGACGGCAGAGGAGCTGACTAAACCCCCCCCCCCCCAGCACCCAGGCAACTCTCACTTTTCACCCTCTGCGATCTGCTGTATGCGATGGGCCTCAGCCTCAGCTGGGCGGCGTACTGTGGCAATGAGCTCCTTGTCAGTGCGCAAGATCTCCTGTGCTTCCACTGCAATCTGCTTCTTACGCTGCACAACTTCAATTTCAATCTCTTCCTGCCGGATCTTCTGCTGCTCACGGGCCCCTTGTAGCTCATAGGCCAATTGGGCCTCAGCTGTCTGTGATGGGAAGGTCAACACATTAAGAGGCTGGCCACCAGGTCCCGAGCCCTGAGCCCCAAGTTAGGGTGCCCTGGCTTCTTACTTTGATATTGACTTCTTCACTGAAGGCTGACTTTTGTAGTTCAAAGGCTCTCTTAGAGTCAGCAATCTTGGTGTCTGCCATGAACTTCACATCAAGCATCTCCTTTTTGCACTCAGCTTCCTGAGAGGAGGGGCAGGTGCTTAGAGTCCCCTGAGGGACCACAGTCCTGTCACCCCTGAGTTCCCTAATCCCAGGGGTAGAAAGGAAATCCCAAGTACCCGGATGCCTGCATCCCGCTCAGCCTCGGCCACACCAATGTCAGCATCTCTCTGCACCACGGCAGTCTGAGTCTTGCCCAGGGAACTCAGATAGTCCACTTTGTCATAAACATCCTGGGGAGGGAAGGGAGAGTCATTCCAGGGAGCAGCCATGGACACAAAGGTGCACCCGCCACCCCTACCAATCCCCATCTCCCAGACGGATTCTTAGGGTAGAAACTTTCTGTCACATCTCACTTTGATAGTGAAGCTGAGGATCTCAATGCCCATGCGGCCAACATCTGGGGCTGCCACCTCTCGAACTAACTTGGCAAACTGGTCCCGATCCTGATATATCTGTTCCACAGTCAGGGTCCCTGGGGATAGAGAGAACATGGGCTTTCTCTCCAGGGTCCCAACCAGCTGGGAAAGGGAGAAAGCATACAAGTAGAAGTCTGGGTGCATATAGGGGTCATGCAGTCTGAACTGGGTCTTCTTGGGGTTTCTTCTCAACAGTGTTTAATACTGAGCCTTATGCAGAGTCCTGGAGGACGAGGAAGTGTCCCAAGAGACACCAGACATGTGAGCAAACTGCCCTCTATCCCACTCCCACTCCCATGCCCTATACCAAAGCCCTCTCTCACTCAAATCAGCCTAAGTTTTTTGTTTCTTTTTGGCGCTAGGAATTGAACCCAGAGTCTCTTGCATGCTTAAGCAAGTACTCTACCCTTGAGCTACATCCCCAGCCCAACTGAAGTTTTGAAATTAAATGCTTGAGGAAAAAGTTTCAGCTCAAAACCTCAGAGGAACAGGCTCCCTGCACAGCTCTGCCACCTGTCCCTGGCCCTGGCTTCAGAACCATGTGAGGCTAGGCAGGGTCTCACCTAGGATGGAACGCAGATGCCCCTCTAGGGTCTGTAGGACAACGTTCTTGATATCCTGTACATTCTTGCCCAGGAACTGCTCGCAGGCCACGGCCAAGAGTTCCTTTTCTGTCATTATCTTTACCTGCCAGGGTCACAGAGGTGCCTGAGTCAGGCTGGAGGGAAACAGATGGAAGCCCCAGACCCAGAGGTACAGAAGATGGTGGCTGTGCCCCTCCCCGTCTTTGTCAAACCTGCAGGCCCTGGGAATACGAGGTAGGTTGGTGTATTTGAGCTCTCTCGTAGGGCATTCTTCACTGGAATTCTTCACTGGCAGCTGAGGCTCTGACTCAGCCTTTCTCCTGGGCATTTGGGGCTCTTCTCCTCCCTCTCCAGCCTACTATTTACTCATTAGCCAACTCCTCCCTCATAGACTCCCCACATGTGGGAGACCTTCAGGCTAAGGGGCAGAGAATATGAAAAGGAGAAAGAGCAATAGGGACATAGACAGACAGATGGACTATGAAAGAGCCTAGATGAGGCAGGAGACAGGTCCCAGGGGATATATAACTGATGGTGCCTTTGCTTCTGGAGGTATTCAGCCAACTCCCTCATCAGAGGCCTGTAACACAGTAGAACCTTGCTGCCCTGGAAGTCCAGAGATGGATTAGGGTGGGGTGCCTCTCCCAGACTCCTAGCTGGGGATATAACACAGCCTTTGACCCCATAAGTTCTCTGCCTCACAGGGCCTCTCCTTTTGGGCCATCCCTCTAACCTCCTGCCTAGGGAACAGGTGAGGCCTGGATTTTGGGGCCGGGCATATCCAACACCTGCAAAGAATGGGACTGGGTTAGAGAGATAGGAGCCCTCAGCACTGGTTCTGTCCCTCGAGGGCCACTGAGGAGAGAAGGGGTATCTGTTAGTCTTGCTGGGTGGCCAAGGGGGCCAAGTGAGCATGTTCCAGTGGTCACGATTCTCTCGTTGGGGGGTGGGGTGGCAGGGATGCTGGAGAGACTACCCCTGGCTGCCGTCCTCTCCTCCTCCCCCCAAACCCCAGCATGGGGATGAGGCACCTCAACAGACATGCGCGGGGCTGCTGAGTTACTATACCTGGGCGACACCCGTCACAGTTAAAGCTACCCCCTCGGCCGTCTCTACGTCCTCGCAGCGGGGCTGCAACGTCATAATCTCTAGGGAAATCCTGCCAAGAAACGCAAAACAGGGGCATGGGTCTGGGGGCCCGGGGCCTGAGGTGTGGGGAATGTTTACCACCTCACTACTCCAGATGGGACAGGCCAAGAATCCTGGTGAGGAGGGTGGGGAAGGCTCTCTAGGGTTTGTAGGTGGCAGTGTGTAAGAAGGTAGCAGGGTAGGTACAGACAGCTCCAGGGAAGGAGGGTAAGTAGGCTACACATGTGCACATAGGTCCTCTGCTCAAGTCAGCCTGGTTTAAATTGAGAGGAAAAGGAAGTAAGAAAGAAGTGCCTATGGTGGTCTGGGGCTGTCAGGAACCAGAAGAAGCCAGGTGCAGCTGTGTGTGTGTCATAGGACAGAAAGTAGGTGCTGGTACTCCAGGCTGTGGCATGGAGGCTGTCATGGATGACATGTGAACATACTTCAGGTACCCTGACATATTCTCTGGGTCTACTCAGCACCCCAAAATGCCCCAAGATGCTGCCTAGAAAGCCCTGCCTGGCAGGTGGGGGGGGAGTATGCCTACTGCTGAGCCAAGACAGAATTGATCCCCTCCTTTGCCAGGAAGCTCTCTCTGATCCCTCCAACTAGCCAGAGGCTATGACTTGAAGTCCACAAGGCTAAGACTTGGGACCAAATATGTCACATGGGGAACACAGGCTGGGGTCACACTGGCTTGGGTCACACCAAAGCCTCCTGGATAAGTAGCATTAACCCTTGAAAGAGTTGTTCTTCCGGGGGCTGGGGTTGTAGCTCAGTTGGTAGAGTGCTTGCCTTGTATGCACAAGGCCCTGGGTTCAATCCCCAGCACCACCAAAAAAAAAAAAAAAAAACAAAAAAAGAGTTGTTCTTCCCAGGCAGTCTAACTCCTCAAGCATCCACATTCACTCAACTTAAAAGGACCTGGGCACTGGGAAATGTTTCAAGTATAGTGTGGGTTTGGAGGGTTGGGGCTGCTTCAATTAGAGTTGAGGGAGGCCTGGACCCTACCCATTCCACAGAGGTCTCTAATCTCCTTTCAGGCTCTTACACTGCAACCTGCCCTCCATGGCTCAGGAGATGGGATGGTGTCTTTCCTGACTAAAGCTGGAAGAATGGGTGAGGAAGGGAATGGTGGTGCTAGACTTTTGCCTGAGAAGGCTGCAATGTAACTCAAAGCATGAGGAAGAGGAAAGTGCAAGATGCCGGCCATTAAGGCCTCTCCAGCCTGGGTACCTGTGAGCAACGGGCTTTGAGGGGAAAGGGCTTTTAGATGTTCATTGCTGCATTCTCAGTGCCTGAATCCAAGAAAGTGCTCAACAGAGAACTGGTAAACAAAGTGATGAGGATAGGAACCTGCACATTACAGAGAACACACTTGGAGTTGCTGAACATTCTAGCCAAGAACAGATTTCACTAGCTATGGCTGCATGGTAATAAGGCTTGGCATTTAAGGACACCCACTGGCAGAATTGGGCTTTCAGAATCCCTTGCCTTTACCCCACTTGCAGCCCCAGTGGGCAAAAGAAGGTGCCCTGGAGATCTACAGGGATTCACCCTGGCACCCAGAGCAGCAGAGATGGGGATAACGAGGGGTGAGGCACACTCTCAGGAGGGGAGTCCATCCAGTTCCTGCCTGCTAGGCCCCACAGGGCAGAAAGAGAGAAGGTTAGATACAGAAGAGGAAGCAGGTGGGTTATTACCTGTGCAACCCCTGTTACGAATAGCGGGACCCCCTCCGACGTCTCAATATTCTCACAGCGACACAGGATGGTCATAACCTCCAGAGACAGTCTGAGAAGCAGCCAGGGGGTAGGGAGAGGTAGGGACAGGAAGGGTAGGAGGGGACACAGCAAATACACAGAGTGGTTACCAGATAAGCACCAATGCCTGACATGTGGGGGCAGGACAGGGGTGCTTTCAACACTTCAAACCCCTGCCAGCTTGGTCTAGGGTTATGAAAGAGCAGAGGCAGCCCCTTGCTGGCCTGAGGCTTCTGGGTCTCTTCTATAGCCCTCCTCCCCTTCCAACGAGGAGCTAATGGGCTGGGGAGATGCTTGCCAATACCCTGGGGGGCCAGGGCCTGAGGTCATGAGGCCTGTAAGCTGACATTCAGGGTGCTTACCACCTCACATTCTTAGTAGATTCTTGCCACAATCTGGGAAACAGCTTTAGTTCTACCCTCCTTACACAGGCAAACCTGTTTCTAGAAATTGGGAAAAGGTAGCCACTCTGGGGATTAATGAGCCAGAGCAAATATTGAATCCTGCTTGGGGTGCAAACCCTTAAGGTTTGTGCTACTACATATCATTAAGAAGGTAATTTAGGGTCAGAAAAGTCCAAAGAAAAGTTTTGATGTGATTTAGGAGGTCAAGGAAGGTTGAGCAAGAAAGTATGCTCCTGCCAGAATATTCACAGGGATGGATGGGAGATGATGGACTTACTCATTTCGGAGTTTCCAAAGTTGAGCATAGGCAGACAAAGAGTATTGGCAAAGAAAATAAGGTGCCTTGCAGTTACTTGGCCCACTCTAGCATATGTGTGTGTATGTGTGTGTATAGGGTGGTGGTTCAGGCAGAGGCAGACTGTGCATAGTGTGGAAAAGTTCCTTAAACCCAAAGAAGGAAGAGGAGATACAGGTGAGGCTAAAAGGCAGAAGCAGGTAGGTGGGGGATGAGGATCAGTAGGCAACATGGAGCCTCACATTAACCCTGGGAGAGGTCACACAGTGGCAGCCCTGGGGGCTTGGCCATGCAGACATGCAAAGGTTGCTTTCATTTGAGTCCTAACAATAGCAACCTTGGGCCTAAGAGGACTCTCTCCACCCAGACTAGACAGAAACCCATAAGCTATTTTCTGGGGGAAGGAAAGAAAGAAATAGAAGAGAGGGAGGGAGAAGTGGGGAGAGGAGGGAGGGAAGGTAGATGGGAGGCTGCAGCTCAGAGGCCAGAGGTGGGGGACTTGCTTAGGTAAGGGAGAGAGAGAGCTGCCCACATCAGGGACTCAGATAGTACAGGGTGTTGCAGCAAAGTACAGCAGGAGGGACTGCACTGAGCCTGGAGGAAGAATGGCTGACATCATGGGTGGGTGAAATACTTCGAAAGGGAGGCTGAGTTAAAAACCTCTATTCTGACATGAGAGGATCCTACCAGCCTAGGGAAATAAAGGCTCCAGCCTGCGGAGATGGCTCAAGTAGGCTGGGGGCAGGGGAAGAGGCTGTCTCCCAGAAAGGGGAATAGAGTGGGAAGGGGTGCAGGGACAGAATAACCAGCAAGTGGGACCAAAGGGAGGATGTTGAGCCTGAGGTAAGTTTCCTAGGAAAAGGTAAGGCCTCCCATCTCTCACTTCCAAACCTGTTGTCAGGGAGGCCTGGCCATCCCACTCTGGGGCTCTGCTCCTGGAGCAAAAAGTAAGAGTAGGAGACCAAGGACATGGAGAAGGTTTGCAGGGGTATTGCCCCATTAGTGGATGCCCACTCGAGACAGGTCTCTGGGCAAGTCACAAAACAGTCCAGGCCTGGCTATAAGTTGAGGTATCTGAATAAGATATTATGCTGTGCTAGGATTGCATGTTGTGTGGGTGGCTGTGTCTCTGAGGCCCATGACTCTGGCAGGCCAAATGACCCACTCAGCTGTTCCTAGGACCCTCTAGAGTAGAAATTGTAACCATTATTGATCAGTCTCTGATAGTTTTGGTCATGGATCAGAAGTTCCCACAATCCTAACAAAAGCACCCTTGGGCCACAATCTATCACCTCAGGGAACGGAAAGTGACAGGAGGAGAGTGAAGGGGGTTATCGGGAAGTCAGTGATGGTAAAAAATTGTGACATACTTTCTATGACCCGGATCCTAGTAGATACCCACAGACCCCCAGGAGCCTCAAGCATCAGGAACTCAGCACAGACATGGGCTTCTCTCTGCTGACTGATGAGGGTGAAATGGAGCGGTATTTTCTGCTGGAATTTCTATTGCTTCCCTTTGGGATGCCCAACCCCCTCGTTCCTTCATAGCTTGCTGTCCTTGTTGCCTGAGTCCTGGCCTAGAAGACTCTACCCCTCCCTCATTTCCCATTAGGAAAGGCGGCTGGACAGTGTGGTAGTAGGAGAGCCCAGGTCTGGTTCTACCCTGGGCTCTGGAGGCACCAGCAGGGAGAGCTGGATGGTGGGCAATATGGGGCACTAAAACCTTCCTTCCTTTATTAACTCTTTCCAAGACATATTTAGGAGACCTGTCTTGCCTGGTGCCAGCACCTTTTCCTTAGATCACCTGCCCCTCCTTGTCTCTAACCCACTACTATCACAAAGAACTTCTAACTATACATCTATTCTCATTTAGCCTCTGCTTGAATTATTCCAGGGCCTTCATGGTGAGGGTGTGTGTACAGGTTTTCTTCAGCCTTTTCTCCTTCACTACACCCCCTCTAAATGTAGTGTGTAATTAAGACTTCTTGAATAACTTTGAGCTAGAACTGGGAAATTGAGATATGATCCTGAATTCTCTGGGACAGAAAGTGATGTCACCTCTTATGCAAAAAAGAACACACAGAAAGGAGGAGGTGTCTAAAGACACACCTTCTTTTTTTTCTTTCCTTTTTTTTTTGGTAGTGGGGATTGAACCCAGGAGTGCATTACCATTGAATTATATACCAGTCCAGTCCTTCTTATTTTTTGAGACAGGGTCTCACTAATTTGCTAATGCTGGCCTTGAATTTGCAATCTTCCTGCCTCAGCCTCCAGAGTCACTAGGATTACATTCATGCATCACCACATTCACCTAAGCCAGACCTTCTTGAAGTGTGCCTCCTGAATGCCTGTACAGCCCATTTCATCTATTCCTTATGGGACTCCTTCTTCCAGAACAGAGGTAGCAAATGGCAGATGTTCTAGCTGATCTGTAGGGTGAAGGGGTAACACTGGAAACACT